CTCTAAAACCAAGACCATAAGGAGATATTCAGAAAATGAAAGATGATAGTGAAAAGTGGATGTTCATTTCAAATTTTTTATTTATCATACTTTAAAAATAGAAAAATAAAAAAATCGAATGATTACTATTTTTAAAATAGATTTTTTTTAAATCTTAAAAATATTTTAAGTTGAAATAAAATAAAAATGGAAAATACAACAAGAAACAATAAATCAATAATGAAATTAGGATATAATGAAATAATGATAACATCAATGTACTTTAATGATATTAATGATTTCATTAATTTAGAAATAGGAATTAAAAGATTTCAAGGAAATATTGAACGATTTCATTTTAATCCAATTCCATTAAATGAATATTCAAGAAAATTATTTACTAATATTGAAACATTTCATATTTATAATAAGTATGATGAAATATTTAATAATGGAAGAATATTTAAAAAAGTAATATGGTATAAAGTAGATTATTCAACACATTTAAAAGAAAAAGTAAACATATGTAAAAATATAGATTTTGTATAAAGATAGAAATATATATGGAAATATAATACCATATGAAGTTAAATCAAATCGGTGTTGGTGTTTTTATATTGTAAAAATCTAACACCCATTGTTATTCCAACAACAATTAATAAATTAGTAGAACATTGTTTTGAAGAACGTATATCATTAACATCAATTTATATTCAATCATCAATTACATCATTTGAATATTCATGTTTTTATAAATATGTATGTAAAGAAGAATTAATGAGAATGAAACAATACCAATAAATTCTTTTGATATAGTAATGAATGAAACAATAAAACAAATGATAACAAATGAAATGCGGTGTAATTTGAAGTAGAAGTAAATGATAATTAATTATCATTTATATTCCTTTTCATTTCTCTTTCTTATTTTTTTCTTTCTTATTATTTATTCTTTTGTTTTTTGAGATATATGAAGTGTTTCGTTTATTAGTCAACCATTCATTTATCATTTCATTCATTATTCATATTATTCAATTTATTTTATCTTATTCTTTATCATTTCTATTTCTTCTTTTCTTGTTTATATTCTTCATTTCTTTTTCATTTCATTATTCTTTTCTATTT